AAGTTGTGAAAGAAAAAAGCAGCAAGCAATCTGTGAAGTCTAGCTTATAAGCACAAGAAGAGATCAAGGAAAGCCTTCATCTCATACACTCCCCACTTTCTCTTGGGGAAACTGAGGCCCACACAGCTTAAGTGTCTTGTCTAACAGAGGTCTTTGGGACCTACCTCCAAGGTTCCCACAATCTTGAACTTAAAGGATAAGTTGGAGTAACAGCAATATCATCAACCCCACTTTCCTAAAACATTCAACTCACTGCCAATTCTAAAAACATCCTTTCCATATTCACTTTTTGAAAATAATTAAAAACCAGAAGAGCAACAATGAAGATGGAGTTCCATCACCTTAGGAGCAGAAAACTCGACCTACACATCTGACATACAAATTTCAAAAAAGAATAAGAAAGCAAATGTTGGGTATTTATGGTGTTGCCCTGGTATAGCACAGTCCTAAGAGAAGGGGCTCTAGGATTTAAATATGTGCTTACTCGGTTTTCCTCTTTACCTAACAAATGTTGAAAATATAAACAAATCAATAAGAGACCAGAATACCATCTTACTAAAGATAAGTTCCTGATACAGTCTCATCTTTCAGAAGAGTAGAAACCAAGAATGGTCTGGAATTCTTCAAAATGGATCTAATTAGTCCATGATTAACTTGGAAGGTGTAACCCACTGCCATGGATTTGCTTCTTCATGTGGAGAACAGTGTGGACCCAGCCATTTACAGGCTGCTGGGGTCCACCCAAGGTGGCCAAAGTGAATAATTTGGTGGTGGTGGTGGGGCGGTTAAGCTAAACCTCAAGGCCACGAGGAGGTGTTAGGTACTTAATCACAAAGTGTAAGTGTAGGGGCCTGGGTATATTCTAAAGTTTTCAAAACAGAGGCAACTGTGGACTTGGTACATCCAACTTCTTAATTTTAGGCTGTAATCACAAAGGCATCTTCCTCTTTTGTAGGTTAATAATACACTCTTGTTGTTGTTGTTGTTATGTGCCATCGAGTCAGCCCTGACTCATAGCGACCCCTCCTTGGGTTTCCGAGGCAGTATCACTACGGAAGTAGGATTGCCCAACCTTCCTTCCGAGGAGTGGCTGGTGGGTTTGAACCACCAGCCTTCTGGTTAGCAGTCAAGTGCCTTAGCCACTATGCTACTAGAGCTCCCTACACTCTTACAGAACCATAAAAATAGTTTTCGTGCATTACTAGAATGATTGGTGGTGAGCAGGGAAAAGAGGTCAGAAAAAAGTGATTTATATAAAAATTCTCCACTGTCCCTATATCTGAAGGAGAATGCTCTGTGGCCAAAGCCAAATGGAGACAAGTAGACTCAGAGAAAATTTTAAATAAGAGCTCATTCCTCAGTATCAACCAAAGCTTCTGGTAACTTAGCTCTGGAGAATGTATGTCTCCCTCCACACAGCCTCTCATAACCATGTGATGAGAGTAGTGACTATGTGAGAGATTGTTTACATGATATTGGGCACCCAGTGTGGGAAAAAGAATTCTGACTCACCTCCACACTTTGCAGAGAGGTGGTGCAGGGGAGCTGGTCACTCAGGCTGGCCTGTGCTTGCAGGTCCCATAAGTGTCTGGCCTCTGTCTTCAACACATACAGCTCAGGTTGAGTCCGACGACCATACCATTTGGAGCCTTTCACATACTTTGGTAGAACAGCCTGTGAGACAGCTAGAAAAGAAAATGGGTAACTTGGTGGGAAGTCCTTAAATCAGTTCTCTGAGCTGCACAGGCCCACACAATACCCTTTGAGAAGGTATAGGTTTGGATGTGCAGTATGCTTTCAAGGACACGCACTGTTACACAACAGAAAACACTGAGAAAATTAGGAGAAACTGCTCCTCTTGGTTACCCAATTATCTAGAGTGGGGGGCAAAAACTGTTGGCCAAGAATCAACTCCATTCACTGCTTGAAGTTTTTCAAGTCTATTTTGCTTTTGGTTATATAGTGAAAGACTATCACAAAAATGTAGATTTTTCTGCAAAGAGAAAGCCCAACAATAGCATCATAGTATGTGATATTATTGTTAGAGACTGGAGATCATCTTCCGTGCCCACATGTCCCAGTATCACATCTCAACTGATGAAAGGAAAGCACTGGGTGGTACCGGTGGGTTTGGCTGTGGGGCCAAAATGCAACTGGACAGGTGCCTCTCAAGCTTAGCAGCATGTCTGGCAAGTCTGGGGCAGAAGCAGGCCCTTAATAGTCCCTCCACTTCCTTTTGACAACCTTGCTTCTCTACATCTGTACAGAGTAGCTGGGACTTCTTGGCCAGAGAAGAAATGGATGCTGACCCAAAGCTAAATTCTCATAAAAGTGGAAAGTGGGGAGGACAGGAAACAAAGACTTGGGTTGGGTGGTAGGCAACCCAGCATTTATAGAACACAGCTTCAGAGAGAGAAAGAAAACAATCAAAATGGAGCCAAAGAGGTAGGACCTGGCCAGTAAACCAGAGGAACATTTCATTGCAGATATACCTTATGTTTCACACCAACACAAGTTACCCTCCCATATCCCAAGTGTTAACTCACCTATTTCCTATGGCCACTGACTTTGGGGCCACTCAGAGGAGGAAGCTGCTTGAACTCGACCAAAAGGGACACAGTGACACCAAGACACAAGCAGGAAGATGGGGCTATGAGCAACAATCGGGGAGGAAGGTGCTGAGTTCCGCTTTGAATATGTGAATGTGGAGTGCTAGCATGACATTTAAAGAGTCTGAGAGTGTGGAGCTAATATAATCTACCACCCTACAGGAGATTTTTGAAAGTAATGTTGTTGTTGTTATGTGCCGTCGAGTCAAACCTGACTCATAGCGACCCCTCCTTGGGTTTCCGAGGCAGTATCACTACAGAAGTAGGATTGCCCAACCTTCCTTCCGAGGAGTGGCTGGTGGGTTTGAACTGCCAGCCGTCTGGTTAGCAGGCAAGTGTCTTAGCCACTATGCTACCAGAGCTCCTTTGAAAGTAATAGGCCTTTGTTAATACTCATGCTGGGATGACAGGTGGTGGTGGTGGTGGTGGTGTTATGGGTCGTCAAGTCGGACCCAGCCCATAGCGACCCCTCCTTGAGTTTCCGAGGTGGTATCATTACAGAAGTAGATTGCCCGACCTTCCTTCTGAGGGGATGATAGATATCAACAGGGAATGGCCCAGAAAACTCTAAGGACATGGGACTAAAATTCATGTGAAATGCCAAACAGAAGAAAACAGTTTCAAAGTCATCAGAACACTTGAAGGAAAATTACAATAAGAAAATCATACCCTCCGGAAGACAGTCCCCAGTGAAGAGCTACCTAAAGGGCACATGAGAGAATAGGTTTGACTCCCCCATAAAAGGCTGCAATCTGGGTATGTGTAGGTGGAAAAGCATCTTTTTCTCTCCTCTTCACTTGATGGGTGTCCCTGCGTGGTGCAAATGGATTATGCTTTCTGCTGCTTACCAAATGTTTGGAGGTTCGAGTCCACCCAAAAGGTGCCTCAGATAAAAGGCCTGGTGACTGACTACTTATGAAAAATCAGCCACTGAAAACCCTATTTAGAACAGTTCTACTCTGACACACATGGGGGCACCATGAGTTGGAATTCACTTGATGGCAACTGGTTTATTCACTTGAGGAAGTACATCAGGCTGGTATAAAAAGAGTGACTTTTTTTTCAGCTGAGAAGTTGGAAATGAATTCTGCACCCACACCTCAATTCATTAGACATGCCAGAGACAGACCCTGTGCTTCCACCATGAGCACACTACTCCCAGAGCCCAGCACAGCATTTAAGCAGCAGGCTATCTACCACTCTGGTCTCTCCCTTACACTTTCCTCCTTAATTTATCCTACCTTAATTCACCCACTCCCAACCTCGATGCTAACTCCTATTTCTTCAAGGGTGCTGAGTCAGCACTTTTTTTAGCGTAATGAACTACCCTGAAAAACACAAACTTGTTTTCGTAATTTTTTCCCAGTGTTCTCATGAGAACAGGCCAGAAGCATATTACCTCTATCCAACAGGTGAAAATGTCACTACAGAAAAGAATGTCCATGTGCAGGCCAAGAAAAAAAAAGAGTGGCAGATGACTAAGCAAAGTACAAATGAATGAGGCAGCTTACCAGTATGCAACATCATGAGGTCCACACACTCTCCCAGTTGGAAAGACCATAAGCCATCAAGCCAAGCATCATTTTGAGTATGAGTAGGTGCCTGTCCCAAGTCACACACTCCAGAATGTACTCAGAGCACAAGTAATGGTGCCTCTGATACCAGAACACAAAGTTTGCTTTCTTCTTTATTTTTTTCTTTTTCTTATGATTTGGGTGAAAGTTATCAGAGCATCTTGGTTCACATTCAACAATTCATACACATTTTTATTCACATATTTATTCAGGTTGCACTCCTGACAACATAACAGCACTCTTCTCACTTCTTGCCTATCCCTACCTTCCTTCTGACCTTTACTTCTGGGCAAATTCTGCCCTTTTGATCTCCTGTGATTGATTGTTCTAAAGAATGAGTATCTCCCTGGTATTCTTCTTCACCTTGTAAACCTATCTATTGCTTGGCTGAAAGTAGAGCCACAGGAACTGAGTTCAGTTCCAGGCCTGAAGAGTGTTGGCCTGAAGAGTGTCTAATAAGGGTTGCCACCTGTCTCTATTAGAATAGTAAGATTGGTCTTTTTTATGATTTTCAGTTTTATTCCACATTTTTCTATCTATGACCTTCCACTATTATTATTATTTTTTATTACTGTACTTTAGGTGCAACTTTACAGAGCAGTTTGTTTTACATTCAACATTTCATGTATACTTGGTTTCACTCCCCAATTACCATCTCCAAGCCTAACCCACTCTCTTCCCCTCCCTGCCCAGTAACCCCCAAAACCATGCTCCTCATAGTTATCCACTACTGTGTCTCCTGCGTTTCTTCCTTGTGAATGTTGCCCCTCTGGTGCCTCGTGGTCTATTGCTCCAAGGAATGCATATCCATAGAGTATGTGGGTGTGTCACCCTGGGTTGAGTAGTCTACTGCACATCTTATTTATGACTAGGCTGAGAGCCAGCCCCTGGGAGTGAGTTTTATTCCAGGCCCGGAATGTATCCCAAGGCCATAGTATTGAGAGTCCCACCAGACTCCATCTGACTAGTAATGCTGCTCATTATTCTGCTTCTGGATTCTATTCTATGTTTTTCCTCCCACTCTACCCAGGATCTTAAGTTTTAATCCCTTCATCAGTGGTTGGCATTGGTTGCTGGGCACCATCTTCTGGTCTCAAGATCCATCATGTCCTAGGGTTGATTGCTTCCAAATGCCGTTGGTATTTTGCACTCTTCTTCGCTTCTGATGACAGGAGACCACTAGCTGCATGTTAGATGGCTGCTCAAAAGCTTTTTAAGACCCCAGCTGCTACTCAGCAATGTAGGCTGTGGAACAAGATTTTTATGTATTTTTTGTGCCAATTGAGTCTGGTGTCCCCCAGTGCTATGGTCCTGAGTCAACAGATATGTTGTATCTCTCCCACAGTGTCTGGCTGTCTGTGAGGGATTGCTCTGTCTGTCTTCTGCTGTTTCTGTAAGGATTATGGGTATTTTGTATCACTGGTATCTCTGCAAGATTAGCATCAGCTGAATCTATCCTTGGTCAAGAGTATAATCCTCTTCACTGACCCCCATCTGATCTTCTCAGATATTTATGTGTTTTTCTGTAGCCTGGTATTTGGTGTTAATAGTAATGCAGTTTTATGGATATACTAGTATTAGCTTTTGTCATCTAAATCTTATGTGCACAATTCAGTGCCCTCCCTTTCCCCAAAGTTATCATGGTGGTCACAGACTCTTTCTGTACCATCCCTCCCCTTACCCATTTCAGCATGTGGCCCCCAACTAGCCTGAAATTATTCCCTCTCCTTCCCTCAACACCCTGGTAAGCTATAAAATGAGTTCCCTTCCTTAAGCAACCACTCAGAAAATTGTCCAAGATTTGCTGGAGGAGAACTTCCCTAATATGATGAAAGATGAGAATATATCCATTCAGGAAGTCCAAAGAACCCCAAACAGGATAGACCCCAAAAGAAAATCACCAAGACCCATCATCATCAAACTCATCAAAACCAAAGACAAAGACAGAATCCGGAAAGCAGCATGGGGAAAACAAAAAGATACCTACAAAGCACAGTCAGTAAGAATAAATTCTGACAAACACCAGAAGAGAAAACAGATGATTGGGACCTTCTAAAAATTAAATTTTTATGTGCCTCCAAAGACTTCTCCAAAAGAGTCAAAACAGAACATACAGATTGGGAAAAAAATATTTGGTAATAACATATCTGACAAGGGACTTATCTCTAGAATTTATAGAA